CAGAGCTCTGGAAACGCAAGTCGGTCTTGAAATCTTGAGCGATCTCACGGACCAAACGTTGGAAAGGAAGCTTGCGGATGAGGAGCTCAGTGCTCTTCTGGTAACGACGGATCTCACGGAGAGCGACGGTTCCTGGCCTGTAACGATGGGGTTTTTTCACTCCACCAGTTGCAGGCGCGCTCTTTCTGGCGGCCTTGGTGGCGAGTTGTTTCCTTGGTGCCTTACCACCGGTGGATTTACGAGCGGTTTGCTTGGTACGTGCCATGACGATGCTGTAAGTTCGGAGACTAACAAAACAATGATGTACGGACTTGAAAATATTGACTTGAAAATATCTTTATTATCAAATAAAATAACATTTATACATAATACAGTTAATGTCTTAAAATATACAAGGACTCTATCTTTACAATATCTGCCTTTAGTTGTTTTATTCTAATAATATTTTATTATAAATTTTAAAGGATGCTAACATATCATATATTATAAAATTTTTTATCAGTAAAAATTTTTAATAAAAACCTGATTAATTAGAAAAGTAATAAATAACCTTAAACTAAAAACTATAAACTATAAACTATTTACAACAATAACAACTTATATACTAAAAATTTACTAGGCCATATTTTAAAATTGTGATTATTGTAATAAATGCTGTATAAGCTTATACTTTATTTTAAAAGGTGCTTCGGTATATTTAAGTTTACCAACATCTTTTAAAATATCTAATTTATTTATTTGATTTTCAAAAAAGTTTTTTGTTAAGTTATATATTTGATCTTTGATCATAGGCACTTTAAGAGTATCATGTAAAATTTTTATATTAGTGCTTAGTTTGGCATTTAAGGTCATTCTAAGGCATTTATTTTGAATTTTTTGAATTTTTTTGATATTACTGACACAAGTATTACCCCATATGGGAGCGACGTACAAAGCTATTGGTCTGATTATGATTTTATAAGTCATTAATTTATTATGTTGGCTCATTTTACTTTTATGATTCATAATATGATATAAATTATTTAGTGTCATAAAGACTTTAGATCTTATTGAGTTTACGTGTTTTGTATAAGATAACTTAGAATCTAAAATTGCGCCTAAATATTTTGCTTGTTTTGTCGGTATTATTTCTTCGTCGTACATTGTTGGATTTATAAATTTATCATCACCGTCATTATGTGAAAAAATTACAAGTTCAGTCTTGTTAGTATTAATTTTAATTTTCCATCTCGCAAAATATTTTTCTAATTCGAAGACATAGTTTTGGAGTCTCTTTAAAGCTATTCTTTTTCTCCTAGACGCAGTATAAACAGCTGTATCATCAGCAAATAACGCAATTTTAACATTGTTACTTTTTGGAATGTCATTGATATAATATAAAAACAATACTGGTCCAAGGATAGATCCTTGTGGTACTCCCGCAGCTATATTCTTTTCTTCCGAGCTTTCATTATTAATTTCTACAATAAATTTTCTATTTTTTAAATAGTTATCTATAATTTTAATCAGGTACAAAGGTATATTATAATTATTTAATTTATAAATAAGTCCTTTGCACCAAACTGTGTCAAAGGCTTTTTCTATATCTAAGAATAGAGCTGCGGTACTATGCTTAATATTAAATTTGGTTGAAATAAAATCTGTGAATCTAGCTAATTGTTGAGCTGTGGAATGATCTTTTCTAAAGCCAAATTGCTCAGGTATAAGTTGTTTATTTTCATTTTCAAAAGTTTTTAATCTATTCAATAAAATTGATTCAAAAGTTTTACTTATTGTGGGAAGCAAGCTAATAGGTCTATAACTTTTAGGATCATTTTTTGGTTTACCTGGCTTATAAATAGGTAAAATTTTGGCTGTTTTCCACACCTCTGGAAAGTAGCTAAATTTTAAGCAGGAATTGAAAATATACGTCAGTTGGACTAGTGCTTTTTTAGGTAAGTATTTTAAAATTATATTTTGAAATCCATCAATACCTGGAGCTTTTTTAGGTTTAAATTTGTTTATTATTTGCTTGATTTCCAAAGGTGTGGTCAACTTAATATCATTAGCATCGAAATTAGAATCTACAATATTATTATATAAACTATGAACATGCTCATTATTTTCCGCAGTTCCCATATTGTCTGTCATTTTATGCACTTGTTCGAAATTATTTGCTATCACTTCAGCTTTTTCTTTATTATTAAAAATTATACTATTCGGGGTTTCTAAGGGTGGGATGGATCTTGAGCTTTTACCTTTTAAAACTTTTATGAATTTCCAGAGTGAATTATTTTTAGTGTCAAGTGACGAGAGTTTATTTTCCCAATTAGTGTTTCTAAAATTTATGATATTTTGTTTAATGCTTCTACACGCTTCATTAATTATTGGTTTTAAGTTTTGATTTCTAGTTTTTTGAAAAATTTTACGAAGATTATTTTTATGTTTTATTTGTTGGATAATTTCATCAGGAAGTTTCTCTTTAAACGATTTACAGGATTTTAATGGTATGGATTCATTAATGGCTTTATTGAGTAATTGATTTAGCTTTGTTATAGTTGAATCTATTTGGGTCACATTTTCAATATTTTGCAGAGTATCTAATTTTAAATCAGTATTAATTATTTGTTTAAATATATTCCAGTTTGCATTTTTATAATCTAGAATTTTTGGAGTTATATTAGATGAAGAAGTTATAGAGGTATCACTAAAAGACATGAAAACTGGTTTATGATCTGAATTCAATTCATTGATGACTTTACTATTTATGGGTATGGGAAAGCCTTTAATGATTGCCATATCAACGATACTGGGCCTTGCTTTGGAATTATGCGGATATAATGTATATTCTTCCGGGAGTGACAACATATACGGATATATTTCTATAAAATCAAAAATTATATTGCCATTACTGCTATTATAGGGACAGTTCCAGCTTACATGTTTGGCATTTAAATCTCCTGCTGCAATTATTTTATTACTAATTTTGAATATTTTTTGGAGATCTGCTATCTCTATATTGTTTTTCGGGGCATATAAAGCGACAATATGGATACCGCCTTCAAGTGTAATGGCATGTGCTTCAATAGTTTTTAAGTTATCAATTTTAATTTCAAGACAATCTATATTATTTTTAACGAAGATAGCCACACCTCCTGAGGCTCTTTTACCTATTCTATTCTTTTTGTAACATTTAAATCCAGAAATTTTATATTTAGATTTATCAGTAAACCAAGTTTCACTAACAATAAAAATATCAACTTTATGTTTATCAAGAAATGAAGGTATTTCATGCGACTTATTTTCGATACCACCGGCATTCCAGTGTACAATATTAAGAGAGTTTACATTTATTTTAGGGTGTTTACCCATCTAGTTCAGCTGACATTTCATAAAAAGCTTGGAGTCGTTCTAAATTATTCTTACATACACTAAGTTTATTTTTAAGCTTAATTGCTAATTTGAGTAGCTTACCTAGATCACATAATTTGTTGATATCACTAAAAACATCAAGGATGTCTTGCATTTCAGTTCTTGTAGAGTCTTCTTTCCCTTGAGTTGGTCTTCTTTGTTGTTGGTTTGGAGTGTCATGCCTGTTGTTGTTGTTCCATTCGTAATACTTATAGGTATTCTGATTTACTGCTGGTTCCTGCCTATTGGGCCTCAGTTGTGGAAAATCTCGTTGTAAATTTCCGTTGAATTGTGCAACTGGATTTTTGAAATTGGACGATTGTTGTCTTCTTGTCCTTGTTATGTTAACTTTTTCCAGGTGAGATAAATAAGTTTCACAGCCTGAGAAATTAGCGGGATGATTTCCTTTACAATTGACGCATCTCGCAGGTTCATCTTTGGTTTTTTTGCATTCACTAGTTATATGAGGTAGAAGGCACTTGACACATCTGGGTTTATTAAAACAATTTTTAGTACCATGACCAAAGTTTTGACATTTTCTACACTGGGTAACTTGTCTGTTATTTTTGTATTTTTCCCAAGTTACTCTCATGTAACAAACAGTTTTGATTTTATAAACATCACTAATTTTAACACTTTTGTCTAGCATAACTATGAACAAGGGATTGTAATTTTCAGGATCATTTTTCTGCTTCATTTTCACTACTTCTGCTTTAATTCCTTGTTCCATTAGTGAAGATTGGATATTTTCATCTGCAAAGTATCCCAGTCCTCGGAGAACCATCTTTACAGGCTTGTTTTCCTTTTTCTCAAAAGTGTAGTATGGTATTCCTTTCTTATTTAATAGCTGTTGGATTTTTCCATGATCTTCTTCCGTGTCAGGAAATACTGTTATTTTCGTGGAATCCTTGTTTTTTCGAAATATAGGGTCTCCTGATGTCACTTCATGAATTAGGTTTATAAACAAACCAATATCATCAATTGTAGTTTCAATTATAAAAGGTGGTATTTTTGATTTCTTCTTCTTCTCATCTTTGGTTTGTTGATCAACCTTCTTTGATGTATCATTTTTCAATTTGTCAGTTGCGGTGTCTATTTTATGAAAGTCATCTTGGTCCATTTCCTCAGAAGATTCATCAATAAGTGGTTGAAATCGATTACTAATTTTAATAGGATTATTCTCCATATTAGTTCTATCATACGGCTTAAATTTCTTTGGACTTGCGTTATCATAATCTCTAACGAAAAGTCTGTCTGTTTTCGGCATGATTGCAAAAAATTGACACGCGCCACACGCCTTTGTCAAGTACAATGTATGGATGCGAGCCAAACTCCTTCATCCATACATATATCAAAAATATTATTTCGCTGCAGAATAATATTCGTAACAAGAATCAACGATGCTAGGTGCTCAGAGTCTCAAACTCGAATCTCAATCAATCAATGATGTACGGCGGGGAAAATGCTGTATTTATGGACTTTTGACTCCGTTGTTCAATAAGTAACAAAAGGGAGGGGAAACTAGCAACACGATTGGTAGATTGAAATTGTGGTGGGAGAAGTGTGCCACACGATGTTATAAAATAATGCTTACTTCCCGGGAAAAGCATTCTCAGTTTGTTCTTCGTTCGAGTTTGACGTACGAACTTTATTATCTGCAAAAATGACTGGTCGCGGAAAGGGAGGTAAAGGTTTGGGAAAAGGAGGAGCAAAGCGGCATCGCAAAGTTTTGCGTGATAACATCCAAGGTATCACCAAGCCAGCCATCCGTCGTTTGGCTCGTCGTGGTGGAGTGAAACGTATCTCCGGATTGATCTACGAGGAAACTCGTGGTGTTCTCAAAGTGTTCCTTGAGAACGTGATCCGTGACGCCGTCACTTACACCGAGCACGCCAAGAGGAAGACTGTCACCGCCATGGACGTCGTCTATGCTTTGAAACGTCAAGGCCGCACCCTTTACGGTTTCGGCGGTTAAATTTTCCTGTCATCTTATAAAACAATCGGCCCTTTTCAGGGCCACCAAATTTTTTTACGTTGAAATTCTTTTTTTTAAAACATATTGTCAAGATATAAAGAGAGTTTTGTGTTGATAATTTATTCTATTAGTGGACGTTAGTTAGGCAAGACAATTTAAATTTGATCTGTAAAGGTAAAAAACTATTCAATAAAATTGAAAAGTATATGTAGTTTACATTCTTGTTCATTGTATCTGAAGACATTGATTTTTTCGGGTCTACATGGAGTTTGGTTTTTGGTCGTTCTTCTTCATCACCTATGATGACACTAATTGTAATCTACTAGGCAGTAAGTGTAGAGGCAACACGTCAATATCTCCAATTACGATATACATATATCAATGTACTACATTTTAATATTAAAGTTTGTTAAGAATTTGTTTAATAATTAATTTTACTGTCTCTATATTTTATTCTTCTTAAAATGAAACTATCCAGATATTCGTAAAAACCATGACCACTTTTAAGAAATTCAAGTTGAAATCGAAACTTTTGAAGATCATAAAAATTTACTTGAAAAGATTGTTAATTTTTTCTTTATAGAACACTAAACATGTGTTGACCAGACGTGATACGGTACCGAAAATATACAGAAAAGTCACGGAGTATGCAAATAATGAACGTCATGTTCTGTTTTGTGTATAACAATCCATAACTAAAATACATGATTATTACTTCTTTCTCACGTTTTTGAAATCGTTTTTTGGAGTTTTTCCAAAACAAGGATACTCAAGCATAAACTGCATATATGGTTGTCATAAAACACAGAAAAGTATTTTTGGCCTACAACATAAAAAAAGGTTACTCGTTCTCGAATATACCTATATAATACCTGAAATCCTTGATAAAAATAGCTTTTCCCCGAGACAATTGTTAAAGTAATTTATAGTTAGCAGTCTAACACAAAATGTATTATATTTTAAAATATAATGATGGAAAAAATAAATAAACTGCTTATATTGGCTTAAAAATGTTAAAGATAAAATTAATTCCTTTGTAAAAAAATTTGTTGGCCCTGAAAAGGGCCGATTGTTTTCGGAGAGATCAAAATTTACTTGGAGCTGGTGTACTTGGTCACAGCTTTGGTGCCTTCAGAGACGGCGTGTTTGGCAAGTTCACCAGGAAGGAGAAGCCTGACAGCGGTTTGGATTTCCCGGGAGGTGATGGTGGACCTCTTGTTGTAGTGGGCCAAGCGGGAAGATTCGGCAGCGATACGTTCAAAGATGTCGTTGACGAAGCTGTTCATGATGCTCATGGCCTTGCTGGAGACTCCAGTGTCGGGATGAACTTGTTTCAACACTTTGTAGATGTAGATGGCATAACTTTCCTTCCTCTTGCGCTTCTTTTTCTTGTCAGTCTTGGTGATATTTTTTTGAGCCTTGCCGGCTTTTTTCACAGCTTTTCCACTTGCTTTAGGAGGCATTTTGGATATTCAGAGACAAACACGTGTAAACTCAATGAGAATACGGAGTGAATTGATGCTCGGCCATTTTTTTTTTTTTTTTTTTTTTTTTTTTTTTTTGGAAGTGGGGAGAGATGAGAAAATCTTCTAAAGACACCCGGTGGAATTGGGTAATGCCGGATTCACTTGATGTGCATACCGACTAAAAACTCATCTCAGTGGTTGTCAACCAAAGGTTATAAACCAAAGAAGAAGGAGGATACCCGATGTAGTTGAGGCTACATGGGCGTTGACGCATATAGCGAAGCACGAATATTGTGAATTTAAGAAGAATGTGGAGAGATGAGAAGGCAAGGCCTTCTGAAGCGGTCTGTGGTCTTGCTCTTGTAGTGAACGAGCGAGTTGATAGTTGGGTTTGAGTGGTTTTCTATGGAGAGACGAAGGTTTTTGGAGTATGTTTGGGCGGCAGTAAAAATGGATGGGAGGTTTGTTTCTTTCAGGATTTGTTGATTTCGGATAAACCAGGGGAAGTTTAAGGCAGAGCGCAGGAGGCGCATGTATGTCTTTTGTAATCGTGTTAACTGTTGTGGGGTGGCAGAGCCCCAGATGGGGATTGCGTAGGTACATATGCTACGGATGATAGCGTTGAAGGCGCGGATTTTTGTGGACTGGGAGACGTGAGGGTTGCTAAAGAAAGGTTTTAGCGATATGAAGGCGCCATTGGCTTTACTGCGAACTGAGGTTATGTGTTTGGACCAGGTAAATCTCTTGTCGAAGATGACACCAAGGTATTTGGCAGAGGAGCTCCATTTAATTGGGAGAGATTTTACTATAGGATTTGGAGGGGAGCGCATACGGCGAGAGAAGAAGACTGCTTCAGATTTGGTGTTGTTAATGTCGAATCGCCATTTCCAATACCAATCCAAAACAGTTGGAATAAATTTGTTTAGGTGAGAGGTGCAATGTTGGATGACTTTGGATGTTTCTAGGAAGCCAATATCATCGGCATATTGGACAGTAAGTATTTTATCATCTGTGGGGATGTCGTAGCAATATAGATTGAAGAGTGTAGGTGAGAGTTTGGACCCTTGAGGAACTCCAGAGGTGATTGAGTGAGTGTTTGAGAGAGATTTGCCTACACGGGCGCTGATGGTTCTGTCGGTGAGAAAGGATTTTACTAGACCGATGAGGTAATGTGGAAAGTTGAGCTTGATGAGTTTAAAGATGAGTCCGTCGTGCCAAACTCTGTCGAACGCTTGTTTGCAATCTAGTAGGAGCATGGAGGTATGTTTGCTTTTATTGAGGTTGTCAGCGATGAATTCAGAAACACGTAGGAGTTGATGGGCTGAGCCATGGCTTTTGCGAAAACCGTGTTGAAAGTCAGGAAGGATATTGTTTTGTGAGATAAATTTGTCGAGGCGAGAAAGAATTATGGATTCTGCTACTTTACTTAATGTGCATAGAAGGCTGATTGGACGATGGTTTGCGGGGTCACTGAGAGATTTTCCTGGCTTTGGTAGAAATATGACAATAGCAGATTTCCAAGCAAGAGGAAAGTATTGAAGACGCATCATGGCATTTATTATGTTGCTGATGGCGACTAGGTGTTTGCGAGGGAGAATCTTTAGTATTTTGTTGTTGATGTTATCATTGCCCGGGGCTTTACGGTTTTTGAGAAGGCGAATTGAATTAAAAACTTCTTTGGGAGAGGTGGGAGGGAAGTTGTTGTCGAGGCTTGTGAAGTTGGAGACTATGTTTGAGACTTTTTTATGAAAAGAGGTGAATTTTTTGAGGCTTGGAAAGGGGGAGCATTGATTTTTAAGGGATTCAGCAAAAATGTTGGCTTTATCTTCATCAAGAGAGAAGGTATTGCCATCCTTGCTGAGTGGTGGAAGGTGAGTTTTCCTGTTTCGAAGAGATCTGATAACTTTCCAACAGCTTTTGGGGTGTTGTTCGGCTTCAGCTATGAATGATTCGAAGGAAGATTTGATAGAGCAGTTTAGGGAGGCTTTTAGTTCTCTTTGTAATGAGTTGAGGAGGCGTTTGTGGTATGAGAGGCGAAATTTTTGCCATTTTTTTCGAGCTTTATTTTTCTTTTTGATGAGACGAAGAATGTAGGGTGATGATCTGTCTCTTTGTGATGGTTTAGTTATATTTGTTGTGGCAAGTTTGACTGAAGTTTGAATTTCTGTAGTTAGAGAGTCAATTGCAGTGTCTAAGTCAGTCTTGGATTTAATCGAAGGGCATTTAAAAGAGGAAGTTTCTAGGATGTATTTCAAATGGGTATAGTCGATTTTTGATTCTATAGGAGGAGAGAGAGATGGGTTCCCTGTTATTTCAAGGTAAACTGGTGAGTGGTCGGAACTGAGTTCAGGAAGTGTCCAGGGATCTTTGTCCAGAATGATGTTTTTGGTCAAAAAGAGGTCTAAGATGCTGGGTTGGTAACGGGGACAAGAAGGGTGGTAAGTTGGTTCTGAAGGGGCTTCGATATTGAAATTATGTCGCAGTGAGGCTCTTAATAGAGTGTTTCCTTTTTTATTATTTCGGAGGCATCCCCAAGCTGTATTTGTAGCATTGAGGTCACCTGCGATAATTGTGGGAGAATCGGAGAGAAAAAAGTCCGGGAGATTGGATATATCGCTTTGATTGGGTGAAGAGTAAAGTGCAAAGATGCGAAGGGGGCCGGAATCGAGGAAGATGGTGGCACCAACTGTTTCACTGGAAAGGGAGTTGGTATTGATAGGCTTGTGTTGTATTGTGTTTCGGATACAGAGTGCTACACCTCCACCTTTCATGGTGAGGCGATCTTTTCTGTAGATAGTAAAATGTGGAAGAAAGAGAGATTTTTTGGGGTTGAGATGAGTTTCTGAGATGCAGGCTATATCGATGGATTTTTCTTCAAGTAGCAGAGAGAGTTCTAGTCGTTTTGTAGGAGAGAGACCATTGGAATTCCAGGTGAGAATTTTGATGGTTTTGTTAAGAGAGGTTTGTGGGGAAGAGAGTGGAGGAGAGGGTTGTGAGGAATTCACGAAAAAGCTGTTGAAGTTGTTGTTGGATGTTTGGGTCGGGGGATAGGTTGTTTCGATTTGATGGTTGGTTAGTTACAGTTGGGGAGTGATTTTTGGAGGTTACGTTAGCGTAGGTTGGTTTCTGGTGAAGTGAGATAGTTGTTTTGACAGGGAGAGGTATTTTGGAAGGAATTGATGCTCGGCCAACAAACCGGGTTTCTTTTATGTCCTGTCGCAGTGGCTATGCTACATTGTGATTGGTTCGTGCACTCGTTGTAAATGCCCACCTGTCACAGTATTGTGGTAGAACAATAGTGGTGGGGGACCCTAATGGAAGTGCATAAATAGTCGATTTTACTGAAATTTTTGTATTAGTCATCCAACCTTTGAGTTGTTCGTTTCGTTGTAACTAAACTAAATCGAAAAATGTCAGGACGTGGAAAAGGAGGCAAAGTCAAGGGAAAGTCAAAGACTCGTTCCAACAGAGCTGGACTTCAATTCCCAGTTGGTCGTATCCATCGTCTCTTGCGCAAGGGAAACTACGCTGAGCGAGTTGGTGCTGGAGCTCCAGTCTACCTCGCAGCA